TATATGTGAATTTATTTTATCATTGTAACAAGTATGGTTACAATATTTGGAAAATTTTATTATTTTTACATAAGTACAAGGGAAATTACCATTACCAAACATAATTTTTTTTGTAGAAAAAGCCAGTTTAATCCAAAACAAGACCGGTTTATATATCTGCAAACCGTTCAAGTTTAAAATAGCAACAAAGGAGTTTGATTATTTTCATTATTTAGCCGCCAAAATACGCTCTTACGCCATTTATAATTGCATTGTTCTCTATATAAATCCTTGTAATTTGCGTAGATGATTTTGAGAAACGCATCATGCCATGTCACTGTTCGGACAGTAGCTTGCTTCATTGTAAAGCTCACTGTGACACACTGTCTATATATATATATCTAAACTTGCAAATGAAAAAATATGATTTTTGTTTTCATTCTCCGAAATGCACAGACATCTGGAATCTACAGGAACTTCCCCCAACCAATTAAACTAGGGGCAATTACAAAAATGCCACTTTTTGTATGCACATTTGCAAGAATGCTACTTAGGGGTGCCCATTTGCAAAAATGCCACTAATTATAGATTTATAAAACCTATATCTTAAAATTCTAAATCCTAAAAAATGTTTTGACCCCTAAAACTCCCTAAACCTTCATAACTAAACCCTAATAGAACATAATTAACCCAAACATAAATGATATAAAGAAAAAATAATTTTGAAAAAGTGGCATTTTTGTAAAGACTTAAAGAATGTGGCATTTTTGTAAAGTGGCACTTGAAAAATGGCATTTTTTGAAATTTCTCATTAAACTATATTTTTTCTTTCGGTCGACAACGATATAATTTTGTTTATCGTTTCATTTTTTTTTTTTGTATTTTTTTGTTTGCATTGCTGGATTATAAAAGCCAAATAAAACAATCAAAATTAGAAAATTAGGCCACATTTTTTTTAATTAAGAAACTATGCTAATATTTACATTTTTGTTCCTTTTTAAATATATTTATAAAACGTTCAGTTATTATTTTTGTATGTGTTCAATGGTAGAGATTTTACTCCCGAATCAATGTAAAATCCCGCAAAATTAGGAACTAGCACGTCTATTTATTATGGAATGTATCGTTTTGAGTTTCCATTTTGTCTCTCCTCGCGATGAACAAGTGCAATGATTCCCAGCAATAAATATATTTCTCTCTGGAAATCTTTTGATTTTTATACAATAACATAACCGTGTGTTTGGGT